AGGAAACATTTTGGGTGAAAGACTTTTTATGCTCATTTTTCTTCAGCATCATTGGTCAGCTTCAAGATGTTAAGATGATTATGTTTTGTTGGACATCGGTAAAGAGATCATTAAAGAAACTAAGCCTGATATTTGTGTGTTCAAAACTAAAACTGGTTTTAATAACTTATCGCTGCATGAATTATTTAACTTGACGGGAGGGGAACATATACCAACTGTGTAACTGATGGAATGTATTTTGTTTAACGGTTGACTATGTGTCGACGATTTATGCTTCTTTAAGGGTTAGCGGTTAGGGTAATGTTAGGGTTAAAGGGTTAATCATATAATTAATCTATTAATAGGTACCGACAATTTATGCTTCTTTTATGAAAGAAGTCATTCTACCATATTTATTGGTTTTCACGTCGGGGATGAAAATCTAATTTGTTTGTTCATAAACCCATATCTATTCCATTTTGCAAATATCAGCAATATTTTATGATAATTATTTGAGGAATTAAAGAAAAAGTCTTTTTCATAGTCTATAATTCATGATTCAGAATGCTTGAATGAATAATGAATCTGAACGTGTCTTCTTCCATGAAAAATGTCAACTCTCTTCCATAAATGTTTTGTTTGTTTGTTTGTTGCTTAGCGCCACACTCAGCATTATTCCAGCTATACGGCGGTTTGTAAATAATCGAGTGTGGACAAGACAATCCAGTGATTGACATCATGATCGTCGATTCCAACCCGGATCTTCACGGGTCCCATAAAAGTAGCAACACTCAGAGGCAGAGCTACATAACCGACTCATGTTAACTGGAGAGAATCCCTATATATCACAGGGGAGCTGACACGATTATGTGGGTTGCTGGCTTGTGATCCAAACCCCTGGCGACTGGTACATGTTAACCTTTATCACATGTTTCAAGTATGCGAGGTTGAAGGTACTATCAATGTACATGGCGTTGCCTGTACACATCGTCACGGGAAGGGTAAATTGTAATGACACTCATACTTCAATCAATTTGTTCAATACTTGTGCAGTCTACGTGTAGAAGACGACGGCTCAGCGAGTGAGTGAGTGAGTGAGCGGACACCAGGATAGGCTACACGCACATTACAACCGAGCATTAGGCGAGACGAGCCATAGCTTTAACTAGTGAGTGAGTGAGTGAGTGAGTATTGTTTTACGCCGCTTTTACCAATATTCCACCAATATCACGGCGGGGGACACCAGAAATGGGCTTCACACAATGTACCCATGTCGGGAATCGAACCCGGGTCTTCGGCGTGACGAGCGAACGCTTTAACCACTAGGCTACCCTTTAACCAGTAGTCTACAAAACCGCCCCACGAAATTTCGGAATATTATGTTTTTTCAGAATTACAAGGGGGTCTTCTGTTTCGGAAATTCCGTGATTGGAGCAAAACGTACGGTCCAGTTATGAAGATTATGTTGGGTAAGTTTGCCTGCTTCACGGTGGTGCAATAATTTTGACGTGTGTCAAAAGTCAAGTAGAGTACTGTGATATTACGGCTAAAGTCCATGTCGAAAGAGTTTGTAAAGATTGGACATCTATCGTTAGCGTCTTGTCATTCGAACCGGCGAATTGATTCAGGATATATGTCATAACACAATAGGTATATCATACGCTGGATAATCGAGCAATAATGAAGAAATACGTCTGCAGTTTCTGTGATGTAAATGCTGTGGGTTATCACGGCTATACCTGAATGGTCAGAAATAGCATTGAATCATAAGATATACTATGTAAGTTTTCACGTGCAGTAATAGAAGTGGACATAATAATTTTACAGGTAATCGGATTGCAGTTGTTTTGAGTCGAATCGATGTGGTAACAGAGGCTCTTGTTACAAGACAAGCAGACTTTGCCGGGAGGACTGACATTTGTTTTGGTGAGAAACTATTACAAGAAGATATACATGAAAACATCAAATGTTCTTTAACTTCCTTTAAGTAATATTCTTTGAAAGAGAAAATTACAACCCGAGCTAATTTCCTTCGAATATAATCTGCTTATTATCCATAGGGAAATTGGCATGGATTAACATATTTCAGTCAGTCTCAATAACCAGTATAATGTTTATTGGCGACTTCTTGGGGTCACAGAAGGCATTTCCACAATAACTCACTCGGGACAAACAATCCGGACTTTCTCATAATACATGGTAGCTGTTCGGCAAATATTTTTGATAGCATATCAGCCATACATGTATGATGCTATTTAAAGGAAGTACATTTTTACAGTTAATGTGATCACTGAGGGAGGAAAAGATATAGCCAATGCATCGTATGGCCCAACGTGGAAGTTGCACAGGAAAATAGCATCTAAAGCGCTGAGGTAAACGTTCACCATCATCACCATCATCATTATCGTCGGCGTCATCATCATTATTATTATTATCATCATCATCATCATCATCATCATTATTATCATATTATTATTATTATTATTATTATTATTATTATTATCAGTCATAGTGTTCGTGGTTGACGCCTCACACAATAGTTTTTTTCTGCTAACCTAGAATGACACCGTGAAGACACTATAGCAAATTTTTTATGCCAAAATGTTTTCACTGTCTCGTATCCTTATCGCACATGTCATGTCAAAATGAAATGTTGACACTTGCAACCGTTGACTAGTATCAAACTGATATCGTGGCCGTAATAATATAACGTTATGTTCAACGAACCAACGCTTGTTGATGAAGAGAATGAGGCAATACATCCTTATATTTTTTCAAGATTAATCCTCAATTTATATAAATGAAATAGTTTGTAATACCTTTATGTTACATGAGTCCATCACAGCATAATACCCCTGTGTTACATGTTGATTCTCAAACTGAAACAAAATGCTAACCAAGAAATACGTACGTGAAAGAACTTAGTGTGAAACCAAGCGTTTTACAATCAATGATTACATTACAAAATTAACTAGGTTTACAAATCAATACAAATTACTGCACAGCAAATACAATGGCAGTACACAATAGGGTGTTATTACAATATTCAATGACAGTATGTAATATGTGTTATGGCAGTGGTCAGTATCAAATACAAAAATACATTGGTTTTAGCAAAGGTCAGTGATAATTGTATGTTCACCCAGCGGCAACAGCGGTCAATATTACGAGATGGCCGATGCAGGAAATCCGAGGTGATGAGTGATCCTCACACGAAATTTGGCTTTAATGTAATGAAATGTGTAAGAGATACGAGAGGCACGCTCTTGCCCCTTATATACAGTCTAACTAGCTACTGGAAATTTCCACATAGCACCATCACAACAGTCACAATCATTGTTTAACTACAAAATACATTGGAATTTAACACATGTAAAGATTCGGAAATAGGTTTATAAAAAATAATTTATATTTTAGGCACTATCTCAGTGGAGATAGCCTGAGTCGTAAAGTGTCCCAATCCCTCAAAACATCTACACAGTTGATGAGAAAGGAACCAGGAGCCTTTGATCCTTTCCCCTACCTGTCACTTGCGATCTCCAACGTGATGACAGGAATGTTGTTCAATAAAGTCAGGTAATTTTATCTTTGCCACTTTTTTAAAACAAAAACACACAGGACTTAGATGTGCTTTTTTATAACAAGAAAGTAACGTTGTTCTTTGGGTATTATCTGAGTTGGAACACAATGTTGTCTTTTTCATGTACTTGTTGACACAGATAAGATATAGTTCTAAGTCTGTTTTGGGGGTAATAAGTTGTAAATTTCAAGTTTCTTGATGACACTCCAGAGAAATTAAGGTGATGTAGTTAACACAACAATCACAAATGTTTCACTCAATCATATATTATTGTGACTTACTGAACACACAAATTAACTCATCTGTAATATATTCACGTGTTCACGTATTTTGTTTAACATTAATATTATTTAGATTAAGGAGCATCAAATGTTATTGTAATATGTATGACAGAGATACGAATATGAATAACACAAGTGCTTTCACGTTTTGACTTGTACTCCATGGGCACCCATCTTCCAAGTCATCTAAGGCAATGCAACTCGCTGTGTTGAGTAAAGTCCCTTAGACATGCCAAAAACCTATTATCATGGGTTCGATTCTCAGATTCACCCTGAGTATCTTTCTTGGATTGTCAGTACCATATCCATTCTCGTGGGTTTCGTCAAAGTGGTAAATGTCTGTGACCTGTATCACGTAAACCAAACTTACCAACACTCTTTTTCTATTCTAGCGAAAATACAGACTCCGAAATCTATAAAACATACGTTGTCAACCTGGACAATTTCATGAAGGAATCGGGAGATGGTTTTCTCGAAGATGTCATTCCCCTACTTCATCTGTGTCCTACGCCGAAATTTAGACGTGTTGTTGGTATGGCAGGAAGGATAACAGAGGCCGTCAGGATAGAAGTTGCTGCCCACAGAGAAACGTTCAAAAAGGGTCGGCAACCATACCTAATTGCAGTTATATCAGTGTTTACAGAAATTAATTGATTGGCAAATGGAAAATACCTTTTCGTCATAACCATGTATATGTACCCTGAAAATGCAACACTTCTTATTAACGATTTATTTTGCTTCAATAATTCTATGATCTTCTGTGAAATGTGAGTTGAGATATAACTAAATGTGGAGTACAATACCGAGTAAGGTTGGTATTGGTTACATGACCTTAAATGATAACAACATGTCTCTACTATTTGCGTTAGTGGCATAGACAGATGTCCAAACAAAAGTACATTTTAAATACTGTTTACTCATGTAGCTCCCTCTAATATAAACTTAACAACTAGTGATTAATTGAGGAATACAACATAAATATACATGTTTGGAGAAACACCGAAAATTACTTTTTTCAGTGTTTCAGTGTAAAGGAGAAATATAACACAGCCAAAGTTGTTAAGTTGTATTTCTGCAATCAAGAAAGAAAGGAAAAATAAGAGTAAAATATATGAGAAAACAAATAACCCCACCCCCACCTCCGGGGTGGTTAAGTTCACACGGAAAATACAGATCACTTATATATGAATTAGGGGACAAAATGAGAATCTGGTTATTATTGCTGTTACAGATGAGATACGGGACTTCACAGACGCCTTGATACTAGCTCAGAAAGAGGCTGAGGAGGAGGACGACCCAACCCTGATGTCACAGATCACAAACACACACATGGTCCAGACAATCAACGACCTGGTCGTTGGTAAGTGCTATATGGGACATCATAAAACTGTGACAGTTTGAATAATGTATATGACAATACACATTTCGTGTACTGGTTGAGATACACTGCAAGTTTTTTTCTGGCGAGGTTCATCAACGTCTCACTGGACCATCACATGGTACAGACATCCAGGGATTCCGAGACAGAATAGGCCCTCAGTATCACATGCTTGTTGTTGCAATTTGTATTTTGGTTGACTGCGTCATCGTGTCCCTCTTCCGTGTGTGACCATGCTGTTGCTGGAATTAATCAGATATGTCTTAATGGTAGATGGTAAAACGTACTTGAAACCTTCCCCTGACATGGGTCATTCCCAGGTGCACATGTATTCCCCACGATAAATGTACAAACAATTGGATAAATGTACAAACAAATTCCTGAAACAAAAGGCAGAACATTGCAAGTAACTCATACCTTTCTACAGTCGCAACTTACGCCTTGTTAGACTTGTGCCAGGCGTCCTTAACAACTGTATAGAGAATCCTCTAATGTCTTCTCTTCTTCCTCCTGGTGAAACCCGACCGTGAAAATCGTACACGACAACCTCTCTTGAAGAGACTCGTCTCTCTTCTCAGCATGATTCTCAGGATAATATCTCAATATAGTATATCATCCTGATCAATCATCTATAAGAGAATTATTTATAAAGATAATCCTTTAATCCCTCAGTCGTCCCGAGACGATTCCGGTTTAGAATTGTTTTTCAGCAAGTCATGCTTGTCGTAAGAGGCGATTAAACGGGATAGGATGATCAGGCTCGCTGACTTGGTTGATGAATGTCATCGTATCCCAGTTGTGTGGATCGATGCTCATTGTGTCAATTACTAGATTGTGTTGACCAGACTCGATTATGTACAGACCGCCATGAAACAAAACATACAAACAAACAAACACATAATAATCACCCAGGCGGATTCTGCCGGTGATATCGCACCACAGTAGTTATCCTGAATAATCATCTTTATAGAGTTCCATTAATCGCAGAGTAGGATCCTCCCGGTAATCGTGTACTGGATAACCAACCATATACTTCAGACATCTCTTAGGATTGTCCTAATTGATCTGGTCATGACACTTGTACTTAACGGCTGTCTATTGTTCTATTGTATGGCCTATCACGCCTCGTATGGTTTTCACGACGACGTCAACGACGTATTAACGGAATTACAAAAGGTATTTTTAAATAAATGATCATAGCTCAATAATCTAATATTTCAGCTGGAACAGATACCACCAGGAACACACTCCACTGGTCTCTCCTGACCATGGCTCTCCATCCTGATATTCAGAAGAAGGTACAAGCAGAGGTGGACTCTGTTATTGGTGCGTTTTCAGAAATCCAGTGCTAATATTGCCAACAGTTAAATCTGTAGCACATCTTGAAAGGTGTGGATTGGGGATATGGGTGGAGCATTGGGTCGGGGATTGGGTGAGGGGTGGAGTGGTATATTGCTACCGGTATTAACTCTTATTATTCAGATAATCTCACTCATTCATTTACATCTTCATCTCAAATTAATACATTGTCTTTCCATTGTTGGGTTCTTTTGAACAGACCACAAACACCGTTCCTCATGTCATTGTTGACTAACTATTGCCTCGTGGAATGTACATGTACAGAATCGGCATTTCAGTAAAAATATCATTGATTACAGGAAATAAAACCTTAAGCGAAGGGGTATTCAAAAAGTATTGAAAAGGGAATGAGTTTCAGGTGATTATATATGGGTTCTAATCATGAGTTAGAATCGAACTTTTCGAGAACTTTTACCTTCTAAAACCTGGATAATGTCCATAGAATCTAGCTAACTAAAATGTTCAACATCATTAATTTGATATCTGTATTAAGAAAAATGTATGCAAAACCTCTGTGCTCTCTACAGGTACATGAAATTTGTTCACTTTGAAATGTCCAGAGACAATGATATCTCGGTCCTATAGGACCACTTCAAGCATTATTATCAACCACTTATTGCTTGCCAAGGCTGAGTGTTTGTTGTTTAGCAATATTCCAGGTATATGACGGTGTTCTGTAAACAATCTACGTGAATCGTTCTACGTAGTTGGGATGCGATGACATGTATGAACCTGACCACCCGATCATGGGTGCTGAAGATCAATTGCCAATCTTTACGGGTAGCCAAAGTTATCAGTCATTTGCTACTTGTATACCCAAATATTGCTATGGTTGCAGATCCTGATCTAAACGTTCACGTTTCGGACAGGGACAGGCTTCCATACACAGAGGCAGTGCTACACGAGATCATGAGGATGAGGACAGTAGCCCCCACTGGTGTTCCTCATTCCACCCTTTGCGATACCACAGTTGGTAGGTATTGCACATGATCACACATTTGAGTGTTGATAACAGCAGTCGGACTTGCTGTGGGCATGGTTATATTGACTTAAATAGGGAACGTGTAGGATGTATCTGCGTGTGAGTTGGATCATTTGGACACTGATGATACTGAGTGTGTGATGTATCCGGTGGTGTCTTGGATTGTCTTGGCACTGATGCTGTTGAGAATGTGGTGTATCTGATGGTGTCTTGGATTGTCTTGACACTGATGCTGTTGAGTGTGTGATGTATCTGCTCGTGTCTTGGATTGTCTTGACACTGATGCTGTTGAGAATGTAATGTATCTGGCGTCTCTTGGATTGTCTTGGCACTGATGCTGTTGAGAATGTGATGTATCTGGTCGTGTCTTGGATTGTCTTGACACTGATGCTGTTGAGTGTGTGATGTATCTGGTGGTGTCTTGGATTGTCTTGACATCGATGCTGTTGAGTGTGTGATGTATCTGGTGGTGTCTTGGATTGTCTTGACACTGATGCTGTTGAGTGTGTGACGTATCTGGTGGTGTCTTGGATTGTCTTGACACTGATGCTGTTGAGAATGTGATGTATCTGGTCGTGTCTTGGATTGTCTTGACACTGATGCTGTTGAGTGTGTGATGTATCTGGTGGTGTCTTGGATTGTCTTGACATCGATGCTGTTGAGTGTGTGATGTATCTGGTCGTGTCTTGGATTGTCTTGACACTGATGCTATTGAGTGTGTGATGTATCTGCTCGTGTTTTGGATTGTCTTGACACTGATGCTGTTGAGTGTGTGATGTATCTGCTCGTGTCTTGGATTGTCTTGGCACTGATGCTGTTGAGTGTGTGATGTATCTGGTCGTGTCTTGGATTGTCTTGACACTGATGCTGTTGAGAATGTAATGTATCTGGCGTCTCTTGGATTGTCTTGGCACTGATGCTGTTGAGAATGTGATGTATCTGGTCGTGTTTTGGATTGTCTTGACACTGATGCTGTTGAGTGTGTGATGTATCTGCTCGTGTCTTGGATTGTCTTGGCACTGATGCTGTTGAGAATGTGATGTATCTGATGGTGTCTTGGATTGTCTTGACACTGATGCTGTTGAGAATGTGATGTATCTGCTCGTGTCTTGGATTGTCTGGACACTGATGCTATTGAGTGTGTGATGTATCTGTATATGAGGATGATTATAATGAGGAAGATAACTTTGAATTACTACCCTTTACAACGAATATGACTAACATCAGTGCAGACAATATCATTACACCAGTGATGACTGTATATTGATAAGAATATAAAAGTTATGACGACGAATGAGAAATGATAACAGCGGTTACCATTAGCGTCTGTCATTCCATCCATTGTGATTCACGCTGCCTCCGTTGCGTAGTGAATATATCGGCTGATCGGTTCGGGGACAGTACACTGCGACATGGTATCTGTGTGGGTCAGAACTGTAAAACCAGCGTAATTATAAGTCCGGACAATTTCTAAATAAAAATTAAAACATAAATAAGTCCAGACTAGCAAAGAAGCCACAATCATAATTACAGGCAAGTCGTGCGTACACGTTAAATGACATTACCTCTGTCCTCAGAACAGTTCGTGGTTTATACAGTATATTGAGATAATATTGTTTGATCAAACAAAGGTTACGTACCACGGAAATTGCACATGCATGTTGAAATAAAGAACTGGTATGGTGCATATACACCACATGTCTCAGGTTGTCATGGCAATGAAGCTATTATCTGTAGGAATGGCTGATGCTGCAAAGATGATGATGATGATGATGATGATGATGATGATGATGATGATAGTGGTGAAAATATTGATGATATAAGTGAAGATATCATCAAAGAAAACTCATGTCATCCGTTGAGTGACATACAGTAAATGATGGCGTGTCATTGCAGGTGGATACGATGTTCCCAAGGGAACAATGGTGTTTATCAACCACGACGCCTTGCACTTTGACCCTGACCAATGGGAGGACGTCAATACGTTTAAACCTGAAAGATTCCTAGACTCTGAGGGGAAGATGGGGCCCAAACCAGAAAGCTGGCTTCCGTTCTCTGCCGGAAGGAGAGTTTGTCTCGGCGAGACTGTCGCCAAGCCTGAACTTCACCTCTTTCTCGCTGGAATTTTGAGAGCATTCACAATTTCACTTGCCCCAGGAACACAGCACGACTTTGAGCCACGGAGTACAGGAGCACTCAATACCCCAGGCAGATACCAAATTGTCGCCAAATCGAGAATTTAAAATTGTGTAAAATATAGGACCAGACATGGACTTATATTTATATGATAACTTTTCAACTAACAATTTGTAATGCAAAGTGTTTCCGTGGAATTTATGAATGTTCGAGGTTAGCTGCTGATAATTATTGGTGCAAAAATGTCGTCATTGCTCTGATGGATTACATACTGGCAATCACGCCAATGTTTGAGGCTTGAAAGTTGTCTGAACAAATATTGATACTAAGCTATAGAGGGGCGTCGGGTAGCCTAGTGGTTAAAGCGTTCGCTCGTCACGCCGAAGACCCGGGTTCGATTCCCTACGTGGGTACAATGTGTGAAGCCCATTTGTGGTGTCCCCCGCCGTGATATTGCTGGAATATTGCTAAAAGCGGCGTAAAACCATACCCACTCGCTCACTCACTAAGCTATAGAATCAGTGTGATTTTGATTATGTGAGGGGATGACAGAGTTTCACATAATGCTACACAATCGTATACGGCAATGAACAAGATGGGACCAACCAAACACATTAAACATCATCACACACGACTTTTACTTTTATAAGAATCAGTGGTTTACAGACCATTTTAGGTTCACGTCCATTTTACATTTTCACTTTTCAATCACTGATGTCTATTTTCTATATGGCTTTTTGAGGTTCATTTGCAACAATGTTTTGCCAGTTTCAGCTTTGTTTGTGTAAATACTGTTTAATAAATGTATGTGTTCACTGACACGTAGTATCATCTCCTTGATTGCAAGTTAGAAAGGTTTCTCCGTCACCTCCGTCCAGACAAGTGTGTGAGTGAGTGAGTCAGTGAGTTTGGTTTAACGCCGCTTTTAACAGTATTCCAGTCATATCGCGGCGTGTCAGCTTAATGTGGGAGGAGGGCGGTCGGGTAGCCTAGTGGTTAAAGCGTTCGCTCGTCATGCCGAAAACCCGGGTTCGGTTCACGACATGGGTACAATGTGTGAAGCCCATTTCTGGTGTCCCCCGCCGTGATATTGCTGGAATATTGCTAAAAGCGGCGTAAAACCATACTCAGTCAGTCAGTCAGTCAGTTTTTAAAGAATTCAACAATCACTTTGTTTTAATCACTTTGTATCAAATATTTGTCTTCCAATAGGATATAGATAACAAAGGTATTGAATTTAAAACGAAACAAATTACAATTACTTTTGCAAGAAAAATATTAAATATTGTATACAAATATTTGATCACATGTTTTTTTTTGTAAAGTCAATAAATACTCGCTGTATAGTTCAAATTCAGTTATTAAAACCACCCGTCCCACACGATTTTAGATGTAAAAACTTATGCGAAACCGTTTTTTTTACATATGTAGATTGATACAATTTTATAAAATGCTATATAAAATAAAGACTAAAGCATCGACACAAATGCGATCCAGAAAATAGAAAACAGCGGAACTCTGTGCTTTATGAAAACTGTAACATTGAGGTAGGTGTCCCGGGCGAATAAAAAGGGAAACCACTCTCAACTAGAGTTTGAACTAAGATTAGCTCCCCCTGAGTTATCAATAAGGTCACGGTCATTACTGTAGCCTGCCGACACCTTCCGTTTTTATCCTTCCCAAATTATCGAAAAGGTATGTTGTTTCACACTTCTTCAGCATGGACTCGGATAGAAATATATTGTAAGCTATCGACTCCACAGTTATGTGGATCGCTGTCGCGATTAAGAACATTTTTGACGTGAAATCCTTGATGCCTTCGTGTTTTTGAAGTGTCAGTTTGAATCACACAGTTTTACAAAATGAAATGTCAATGTTTGAACGTAAAGCAGACTAATTGTTTGGCAAAATATCTATGGAAAAGTATGCCGCCATCTTGGATGAAGATAAAATATCGGTATCAGGCTATCTTAGATTTACGACAATCTTAAGATATCTTAGGGCTACGATAGTTTAAAAAATATGCTACGATAGCCTAGGATTTCCTTGCGATAAATTTACGATAATTTTAGGGCTACGATCGTTTCGAAAATCTTGGCACTGAAATGTATATTGAAGCCTCAGTCTCTCTTCTTCCTGTCGTGTGAGCGCACATGTAAGTTTTCATTTTGTATTTCTGACATTTTGTGATGCTAGGTAAATGCATTTATATGCTATTGTACTTCTTGAGTTGAAAAAGTGAAATTAATGCATACGTTTTAAGAAATGTCAAAAAAAAAGTTTATATAGAAAATTAAGGTCTAAATGTGTCTTTTACTTTGTATTGTAGTTTTCTAAACCTCGTCACTGGAAGCATCATTTAACAGTTCGTGATGCAAAAGAAACACTCAGTATGAAACGTTTAAAAATATGACACTGTCAATAAATTCCCTGTGATGCGAGCGTTTCAGAGTTTTTGTGTTCTTGCATCTACAATATATATATATATATATATATATATATATATATGTGTGTGTGTGTGTGTGTGTGTGTGTGCAGCGCCATCTGAATAATCAAACAGATACACATTGCCCTCTTCGTCGAGGAGGGGCGGTCGGGTAGACTAGTGGTTAAAGCGTTCGCTCGTCACGCCGAAGACTCGGGTTCAATTCCTGGCATAGGTACAATGAGTGAAGCCAATTTCTAGTGTCCCCCGCCGTGATATTGCTGGAATATTGCTCAATGCGGCCTATAGCCCATACTCACTCACTCACTTCATCATTGAAAGATACAGATGCAGGATCGTGCAGGAGGTGCGAAATTGCCAAGCATCGGTCAGGTCTACTTGTGTAAGGTGTACGGGAAAGACAACTCAAGCTGTCCGTACTTGTTAAATGTCATCGTTTTTGTGCGGTTTCTAAGCTGGGCTAGACCTCCCCTCGGTTATGGTTGACATTGTAAACCCTCGCGAAGAGAGCTCCGGTATTAAAAAAACAAATGAGGAAGAATTTATGTCATATTCTTATCACACATTCCTATACTGACACGTGGAGTCGTCTACCCACTAGCGGCGCATGCAGCTCGTGCTAAATACATTGTTGTATTCGGGTGAGTGAGTGAGTATGGTTTTACACACCTTTTAATAATATTGCATCAATATCATGTCGGGGGACCCCAGAAATGGGCTTCACATGTTTTATTCATGTGGGGAATCGAACCCGAGGATTCGGCATGACGAGCGGACGCTTTAACCACCAGACTACCCCACCGCCCGTGTTCGGCTGACGTTTATCGCTTATATATTTTCATTACTTATAAGTGTTGAGTGGCAGTATCCTTCCTTGGTTTATGCCTCGGGACCGAGGTATTAATATTATTAAAATCCTCTGACGTCTCTTATCTCTGACTTATATTGAGGAGGTATACAGCACCCAAACGTTAATTCTGTTAACTGGCACATAAGAGACAAGAAAAAAATAAGACCGAAAGCTTGGTGTTCTGAAAAGTCTGTGTTGTGAGTTAAAAACAATTGTTAGGAGCGTTTCAAAGGAGATGTATGTCTGTGATGTTTAGCGAGCCGATAGCGCTAACCGATATGAGGTAACCGCTTCATACATAATCACAATGTAAAAGTGCAATGTAAAAACACTACATCTCTCTCCTCCTTGGATTAATTATTGGAGTTACAGTAACAATAATTATAGCACCTAATAATTTGGGACTTTTAACATGCAACATATTGACTTTATATAAGCATGCATTATATAAATGAAAATAAATTTGTTATATGTTAACATTAAAATGACTGATTTTAAGTCAGTCAAGTTTCATGTAAGAAACTGTCATAATGCATTTACTGCAAAATGAAAGTCGTTTGTGCTGAAATGAAACATTGTAATTGTTCAAAATGTTAAAGTGCAGTGTAAAACACTGCAATGTTTCACAGACAGAATATCTTTTTCAGCCACCCCTTCACGATATACCTATACTCACACGCAAAAGAAACGCAAGTGGTTTTAAGCAAATAGGTAATAAACACAGAACCATAAATTGATACGAGTTTAAGCAAGTAGTGAAGCCTGATGGTGTTATCAATATTTGTGGTTGCATTTTGGAAGCCCCGAATAAAAACGCAACATCAAAAACGAATCGCCAAAACGCATCATTTCAATGAATATGTGGGTATCATCCACCCATTTCTCGCGAAACCGAAAATGCACGAACTGTCACGAACTGTAGTAGGTATAAAACTGTGGCCGATTCTTGGACCTACCACTCCTTGGTCAACAATGCCACGCCTAACTCAAATTCAGAGAAATCGGACGTTTGGAAGCTGGAGAGTCTGTCCAAGATGTTGCCCGTCATTTCAACGTTAACATAAGCACAATTTACCGTCTCCTGCATCGATACAATGCAACACAGACCACAGATGACCTTCCTCGGAGCGGTCGTCCTAGGGTCACCACAAGACCCTCGACAAGATCGGCAGATTACCCGTCAACACCAGCGACATCCGTTCCTAACTGCAAGTGAAACTGCTCGAGAGACCAAAGGAACACATAATCAACACATTAGCCGGGACACTGTGATCCGACGTCTCCGTTCCAACAACCTCATCTGTCGCCGACCAGCACCTCGTCCTGTTCTCCAACCACGGCATCGACAAGCACGACTTCAGTGGGCACAGGGTCATCACAATTGGCGTCATCGTGATCTCTGATGAAAGTCTCTTTTGTGTCTCCCATGCAGATGGAAGAGTCAGAATTTGGCGGCGTCGAGGTGATCGTTTCGCTGACAGAAACGTTGTGGAACGGGATCCACGGTTGGACCTTGCGTCATGATATGTGCAGGGATTGGACTTAAGGCGAGACTTGGACCAATGTGCTTTCTGAATGTTTGTCAAGGTCGGGGACACGGCGTCACTGCTCAGCGGTATATCGACCAAGTGATCAGACCCCAAGTTGTTCCATTTTTTGCACAACATCAAAAACACATTTTCCAGAAGGACAACGCTCGTCCCCATGTTGCCAGAGCTACCATGGTCTTTCTGCAACAACACAACATCCGTGTTCTGCCATGACCAGCCCTCGGTTTAACATGGATACTCCACTCATTATACTAACTTGCATATCTTATACTGTCAGAGGAAACGGAGAAGCCTTTCTTACCTGCAGTCAAGGAGATGATGCCACGTGTCAGTGAACATGTGCATTTATTAAACAGTATTGGTGAGGTTAGGTGAAATGGGGTTTAACGTCGCGTCCAAGATTATTGCACTTATATAGCGATGTGCACCACTAGACCACGGAGGCGGTCTTTAAACAGTATTGACACAAACACAGCTGAAACTGGCAAGAAATTGTTGCAAATGAACCTCAAAAAGCGATATAGAAAATAGACATCACTAAATGAAAAGTGAAAATTTAGAATGGATGTGAACCTAAAATGGTCTTTAAACCACTGATTCTTATAAAAGTAAAAGTCGTGTGTGATGATGTTTAATGTGTATGGTTGGTCCCATCTTGTTCATTGCCGTATACGATTGTGTAGCATTATCTGAAACTCTGTCATCCTCTCACATAATGAAAACCAACCACACTGATTCTATATCAATATTTGTTCAGACAACTTTCAAGCCTCACACATTTGCGTGATTGCCAGTATGTAATCAATCAATAACGACATTTTTGCACCTTCATTTATCAGCAGCAAACTGGAACATTCATAAATGCCACGGAAATACTTTGCATGCCATAACAAAATGTTAGTTGAAAAGTTATCATATGACAGATCGTCCATGTCTGGTTCTATATTTTACACAATTTTAACTTCTCGATTTGGCGACAATTTGGTATTTCCCTGGGGTATTTTGTGCTCCTGTACTCCGTGGCTCAAAGTCGTGCTGTGTTCCTGGGGCAAGTGAAATTGTGAATACTCTCAGAATTCCAGCGAGAAAGAGGTGAAGTTCAGGCTTGGCGACAGTCTCGCCGAGACAAACTCTCCTTCCGGCAGAGAACGGAAGCCAGCTTTCTGGCTTGGGTCCCATCTTCCCCTCAGAGTCTAGGAATCTTTCAGGTTTAAACGTATTGACGTCCTCCCATTGGTCAGGGTCAAAGTGCAAGGCGTCGTGGTTGATAAACACCATTGTACCCTTGGGAACATCGTATCCACCTGCAATAACACGCCATCATTTACTGTATGTCCCTCAACGGATGAGTTTTCTATGATAATATCTTCACTTATATCATCCTTTTCACCACTCTCTCTCATCATCATCATCATTTGCAACATCATTTGCAGCATCAGTCATCTCTACAGATAATAGTTTCACTGCCATGACAACCTGAGACATGAGGTGTATATGCACCATACCAGTGCATACCATATTTCAACATGCATGTGCAATTTCAGTGGTGCATAACCTATGTTTGATAGAAAAATATTATCAATATACTATATTATCCACAAACTGGTCTGAGGCTGGTGAAATGTCATTTAACGTTTACGTTTGACGTGCCTGTAATTATGCATGTGGTTTCTTCTGCTGGTCCGGACTTATACATATGATCATTTTAATCTGCACTGATGTCAGTCATATTCGTTATCAACGGTAGTAATTCAAAGTTGCCATCCTCATTATAATCATCGTCATAAACAGAAGCACACACTCAGCATCATTAGTGTCAAGACGACCCAAGACAAGGTCAGATACATCACACACTCAGCATCATGTGTCAAGACGACCCAAGACAACATCAGAAACTCCACACGCTCAACATCATCATTAGTGTCAAGACGACCCAATACAAGATCAGATACATCACACACTCAACAGCATCACCAGTGTCAAGACGACCCAATACAAGATCAGATACATCACACACTCAGCATCACCTGTGTCAAGACGAACCAAGACACGATCAGATACATCACACACTCACTATCATCAGTGTCAAGGCGACCCAAGACACGATCAGATACATCACACACTCAGTATCACCAGTGTCAAGACGACCCAAGACACGATCAGATACATCACACACTCAGCATCATCCGTGTCAAGACGACTCAAGACACGATGAGATACATCACACACATAGCATCACCAGTGTCAAGACGACCCAAGACACGATCAGATACATCCAGGCTCAACGGCATCAGTGTCAAGACGACCCAAGACAAGATCAGATACATCACACACTCAGCATCATCAGTGTCAAGACGACCTAAGACAAGATGAGAAACTTCACAAGCTCAACAGCATCATTAGTGTCAAGACGACCAAAGTCAAGATCAGATACATCACACACTCAGCATCACCAGTGTCAAGACGACCCAAGACAAGATCAGAAACTTCACACGCTCAACAGCAACATTAGTGTCATGACGACCCAAGACAAGATCAGATACATCCAGGCTCAACAGCATCATTATTGTCAAGACGACGCAAGACAAGATCAGATACATCCAGGCTCAACGGCATCAGTGTCAAGACGACCCAAGACAAGATCAGATACATCACACACTCAGCATCATGTGTCAAGACGACCCAAGACAACATCAGAAACTCCACACGCTCAACAGCATCATTAGTGTCAAGACGCCCCAATACAAGATCAGATACATCACACGCTCAACAGCATCATTAGTGTGAAGACGACCCAATACAAGATCAGATACATCCAGGCTCAACAGCATCATTAGTGTGAAGACGACCTAAGACAAGATCTGATACATCACACGCTCAACAGCATCAATAGTGTGAAGACGACCTAAGACAAGATCAGATACATCACACACTCAGCATCATCAGTGTCAAGACGACCCAAGACAAGATCAGAAACTTCACACGCTCAACAGCATCATTATTGTCAAGACGACCCAAGACAAGATCAGATACATCACACACTCAACAGCATCAGTGTCAAGACGACCCAATACAAGATCAGATACATCACACACTCAACAGCATCACCAGTGTCAAGACGACCCAATACAAGATCAGATACATCACACACTCAGCATCACCTGTGTCAAGACGAACCAAGACACGATCAGATACATCACACACTCAGCATCATTAGTGTCAAGACGACCCAAGACACGATCAGATACATCACACACTCAGTATCATCAGTGTCAAGGCGACCCAAGACACGATCAGATACATCACACACTCAGTATCATCAGTGTCAAGACGACCCAAGACAAGATCAGAAACTGCACACGCTCAACAGCATCATTAGTGTCATGACGACCCAAGATAAGATCAGAAACTGCACACGCTCAACATCATTAGTGTCAAGACGACCCAAGACAAGATCAGATACCTCACACGCTCAACAGCATCATTAGTGTCAAGACGACCCAAGACAAGATCAGATACATCCACGCTCAACAGCATCATTATTGTCAAGACGACCCAAGACAAGATCAGAAACTTCACACGCTCAACAGCATCATTATTGTCAAGACGACCCAAGACAAGATCAGATATATCCAGGCTCAACGGCATCAGTGTGAAGACGACCCAAGACAAGATCAGATACATCACACACTCAGCATCATCCGTGTCAAGACGACCTAAGACAAGATCAGAAACTCCACACGCTCAACAGCATCATTAGTGTCAAGACGACCAGATACAAGATCAGATACATCCAGGCTCAACAGCATCATTAGCGTGAAGACGACCTAAGACAAGATCTGATACATCACACGCTCAACAGCATCATTAGTGTGAAGACGACCTAAGACAAGATCAGATACATCACACACTCAGCATCATCAGTGTCAAGACGACCCAAGACAAGATCAGAAACTTCACACGCTCAAAAGCATCATTATTGTCAAGACGACCCAAGACAAGATCAGATACATCACACACTCAACAGCATCAGTGTCAAGACGACCCAAGACAAGATCAGATACATCCAGGCTCAACAGCATCATTAGTGTCAAGACGACCAAAGTCAAGATCAGATACCTCACACACTCAGTATCATCAGTGTCAAGACAACCCAAGACACGATCAGATACATCACACACTCAGTATCATGTGTCAAGACGACCCAAGACAAGATCAGATACATCCAGGCTCAGCATCATCAGTGTCAAGACGACCCAAGGCACGATCAGATACATCACACACTCAGCATCATCAGTGTCAAGACGACCCAAGACAAGATCAGAAACTGCACACGCTCAACAGCATCATTTGTGTCATGACGACCCAAGACAAGATCAGAAACTGCACACGCTCAACAGCATCATTAGTGTCAAGACGACCCAAGACAAGATCAGAAACTGCACACGCTCAACAGCATCATTAGTGTGAAGACGACCTAAGACAAGATCAGATACATCACACACTCAGCATCATCAGTGTCAAGACGACCCAAGACAAGATCAGAAACTTCACACGCTCAACAGCATCATTATTGTCAAGACGACCCAAGACAAGATCAGATACATCACACACTCAACAGCATCAGTGTCAAGACGACCCAAGACAAGATCAGATACATCCAGGCTCAACAGCATCATTAGTGTCATGACGACCTAAGACAAGATCAGATACATCACACGCTCAACAGCATCAGTGTCAAGACGACGCAAGACAAGATCAGAAACTGCACACGCTCAACAGCATCATTAGTGTGAAGACGACCTAAGACAAGATCAGATACATCACACACTCAGCATCATCAGTGTCAAGACGACCCAAGACAAGATCAGAAACTGCACACGCTCAACAGCATCATTAGTGTCATGACGACCCAAGACAAGATCAGAAACTGCACACGCTCAACAGCATCATTAGTGTCAAGACGACCAAAGTCAAGATCAGATACATCACACGCTCAACAGCATCATTATTGTCAAGACGACGCAAGACAAGATCAGAAACTGCACACGCTCAACAGCATCATTAGTGTCAAGACGACCCAAGACAAGATCAGAAACTGCACACGCTCAACAGCATCATTAGTGTCAAGACGACCCAAGTCAAGATCAGATACATCACACGCTCAACAGCATCAGTGTCAAGACGACGCAAGACAAGATCAGAAACTGCACACGCTCAACGGCATCATTAGTGTCAAGACGACCCAAGACAAGATCAGATACATCACACGCTCAATAGCATCAGTGTCAAGACGACGCAAGACAAGGTCAGAATCTTCACACGCTCAACAGCAACATTAGTGGCAAGACGACCCAAGACAAGATCTGATACATCCAGGCTCAACAGCATCATCAGTGTCAAGACGACCTAAGACAAGATCTGATACATCACACGCTCAACAGCATCATTAGTGTGAAGACGGCCTAAGGCAAGATCAGAAACTTCACACGCTCAACAGCATCATAAGTGTCAAGACGACCCAAGACAAGATCAGAAACATCACACACTCAGTATCATCAGTGTCAAGACGACGCAAGACAAGGTCAAAATCTTCACACGCTCAACGGCATCATTAGTGTCAAGACGACCCAATACAAGATCAGATACATCACACACTCAACGGCATCAGTGTCAAGACGACCCAAGACAAGATCAGATACATCACACACTAAACGGCATCAGTGTCAAGACGACCTAAGACAAGATCAGAAACTCCACACGCTCAACAGCATCATTAGTGTCAAGACGACCCAATACAAGATCAGATACATCACACACTCAACAGCATCAGTGTCAAGACGACCCAAGACAAGATCAGATACATCACACACTCAACGGCATCAGTGTCAAGACGACCCAAGACAAGTTCAGATACATCACAAGCTCAACAGCATCAGTGTCCAAATTATCCTGCTCACACGCAAATACACCGCACACTCGGCGTCGTCAGTGTCACGACCATTCAGACACGTGCGGATGCATCACACACTAAACAATCCAAGACACGATCAGATACCTTACACACTCCGTATCATCCGTGTCAAGACGACCCAAGACACGAGCAGATACATCACACACTCAGCATCATCAGTGTGTCAAGACGACTCAAGACAAGATCAGATACATCACACACTCAGTATCATCAGTGTCAAGACGACCCAAGACACGATCAGATACATCCAGGCTCAGCATCATCAGTGTCAACACGACCCAAGACACGATCAGATACATCACACACTCAGTATCATCAGTGTCAAGACGAACCAAGACACGATCAGATACATCACACACTCAGTATCATCAGTGTCAAGACGACTCAAGATACGATCAGATACATCACACACTCATTATCATCAGTGTCAAGACGGCCCAAGACACCATCGGATACATCACACACTCAGTATCATCAGTGTCAAGACGACTCAAGATACGATCAGATACATCACACACTCATTATCATCAGTGTCAAGACGGCCCAAGACACCATCGGATACATCACACACTCAGTATCATCAGTGTCAAGACGAACCAAGACACGATCAGATACATCACACACTCAGTATCATCAGTGTCAAGACGACTCAAGATACGATCAGATACATCACACACTCAGTATCATCAGTGTCAAGACGGCCCAAGACACCATCGGATACATCACACACTCAGTATCATCAGTGCTCAAATGATCCAACTCACACGCAGATACATCCTACACGTTCTCTATTTAAGTCAATATAACCATGCCCACAGCAAGTCCGACTGCTATTTTCAACACTCAAATGTGTGATCATGTGCAATACCTACCAACTGTGGTATCGCAAAGGGTGGAATGAGGAATACCAGTGGGGACTACTGTCCTCATCCTCATGATCTCGTGTAGCACTGCCTCTGTGTATGGAAGCCTGTTCCTGTCCGAAACGTGAACGTTTAGTTCGGGATCTGCAACCATAGCAATACTTAACATTAACATTAACATTAAGACAATAGTTAACCCGTTTATGAATGTGTATATTTGTGTTTTGTTCAGTATATTATTCTATTCGTTCATAAAGTCTGGTCTATTGTTTATCAAAGGAACGACGAAATTTATAAAATACTCATTTCAAAATTAAGGCTTTGTTTGTTCCCAATAGGACCCTCAACTTTGACAAGTAGCAAATGATAACTTTGGCTACCCGTAAAGATTGGCAATTGATCTTCAGCACCCATGATCGGGTGGTCAGGCTCATACATGTCATCGCATCCCAACTGCGTAGAACTATTCACGTAGATTGTTTACAGAACACCGTCATATACCTGGAATATTGCTAAACAACAAACAAACATACCCAGCTTTGGCAAGCAATAAGTGGTTGATAATAATGCTTGAAGTGGTCCTATAGGACCGAGATATCATTGTCTCTGGACATTTCAAAGTGAACACATTCCATGTACCTGTAGAGAGCACAGAGGTCTTGCATACATTTTTCTTAATACAGATATCACATCAATGATGTCGAACATTTTAGTTAGCTAGATTCTATGGACATTATCCAGGTTTTAGAAGGTAAAAGTTCTCGAAAAGTTCGATTCTAACTAATGATTAGAACCCATATATAATCACCTGAAACTCATTCCCTTTTCAATACTTTTTGAATACCCCTTCGCTTAAGGATTTATTTCCTGTAATCAATGATATTTCTACTGAAATGCCGATACTGTACATGTACATTCCACGAGGCAATAATTAGTCAACAATGTCATGAGGAACGGTATTTGTGGTCTGTTCAAAAGAACCCAACCATGGAAAGACAATGTATTACTTTGAGATGAAGATGTAAATGAATGAGTGAGACTATCTAAATAATAAGTGTTAATACCGGTAGCAATGTACCACCCCACCCCTCACCCAATCCCCGACCCAATCTTCCACCAATATCCCCAATCCACACCTTACAAGAAGATGTGCTACAGATTTAACTGTTGGCAATATTAACACTGGATTTCTGAAAACGCACCAATAACAGAGTCCACCTCTGCTTGTACCTTCTTCTGAATATCAGGATGGAGAGCCATGGTCAGGAGAGACCAGTGGAGTGTGTTCCTGGTGGTATCTGTTCCAGCTGAAATATTAAATTATTGAGCTATGATCATTTATTTATTAATACTTTTTTGTAATTCCGTTAATACGTCGTTGACGTCGTCGTGAAAACCATACGAGGCGTGATAGGCCATACAACAGAACAATAGACAGCCGTCAAGTACAAGTGTCATGACCAGATCAACCAGGACAATCCTAAGAGATGTCTGAAGTATTTGGTTGGTTATCCAGTACATGATTACCGGGAGGATCCTACTACGCGATTAAAGGATTCTCCGTAAAGATGATTGTTCAGGATGATTACTGTGGTGCAATATCACCGGCAAAATCCGCCTGGGTGATTATTCTGTGTTTGTTTGTCTGTATGTTTTGTTTAATGGCGGCCTGTACATGATCGAGTCTGGTCAACACAATCTAGGAATTGATACTATGAGCAATGTTCAACACAATTGGGATACGATGACATGCAATAACCAAGTCAGCGAGCCTGACAATCCGATCCCGTTAATCGCCTCTTACAACAAGCATGACTTGCTGAAAAACAATTCTAACCGGGATCTTCAAGGGACGACTGAGGGATTAAAGGATTCTCTTTTTATATAATTGTTCAGGATGATCACTATGGTGAGATATCACCAGCAGAATCCTACTGATGATTTAATGGATTCTCTTATAGATGATTGTTTATGATGATATACTATATTGAAATATTACCCTGAGAATCATGCTGAGAAGAGAGACGAGTCTCTTCAAGAGAGGTTGTCGTGTACGATTTTCATGGTCGGCTTTCACCAGGAGGAGGAAGAGGAGACATAAGAGGATTCTCTATACAGTTGTTAAAGAGGCCTGGCACAAGTCTACCGTGGCGTAGGTTCCGACTGTAGAATGGTATGAGTTTATTTGCATTGTTCTGCCTTTTGTTATCGTGGGGAATACATGTACACAAGCGAATGACCCAAGTCACGGGATGGTTTCAAATACACATGTACGTTTTACCATCTACCATCAAGACATATCTGATTAATTCCAGCACCAGCATGGTCACACACGGAAGAGGGACACGATGACGCAGTCAACCAAAATACAAACTGTAACAACAAGCATGTGATACTGAGGGCCTATTCTGTCTCGGAATCCCTGGATGTCTGTACCATGTGATGGTCCAGTGAGACGTTGATGAACCTCACCAGAAAAAAACTTGCAGTGTATCTCAACCAGTACACGAAATGTGTATTGTCATATACATTATTCAAACTGTCACAGTTTTATGATGTCCCATATAGCACTTACCAACGACCAGGTCGCTGATTGCATTGACCATGTGTGTGTTTGTGATCTGTGACATCAGGGTTGGGTCGTCCTCCTCCTCAGCCTCTTTCTGAGCTAGTATCAAGGCGTCTGTGAAGTCCCGTAACTCATCTGTAACAGCAATAATAACCAGATTCTCATTTTGTCCTCTAATTCATATATAAGTGATCTGTATTTTCCGTGTGAACTTGAGAACCCCATTTCTTAATTTGTTTTCTCATATGTTTTACTCTTATTGTTCCTTTCTTTCTTGATTGCAGAAATACAACTTAACAACTTTGGCTGTGTTACATTTCTCCCTTACACCGAAACTGAAAAGAAATTTCGGTGTTTCTCCAAACATGTATATTTATGTTGTATTCCTCAATTAATCACTAGTTGTTAAGTTTATATTAGAGGGAGCTACATGAGTAAACAGTATTTAAAATGTACTTTTGTTTGGACATCTGCCTATGCCACTAACGCAAATAGTAGAGACATGTTGCTATTATTTAAGGTCATGTAACCAATACCAACCTTCCTTGGTATTGTACTCCACATTTAGTTAAATCTCAACACACATTTCACAGAAAATCATAGAATTATTGAAGCAAAATATATAGTTAATAAGAAGTGTTGTATTTCAGGGTACATATGCATGTTAATGATGAAAAAGTATTATCTATTTGCCAATCAATTAATTTCTGTAAACACTGATACAAGTGCAATTAGGTATGGTTGCCGAACCCTTTTTGAACTTTTCTCTGTGGGCAGCAATTTCGATCCTGACGGCCTCTCCAATCCTTTCTGCGATACCAACAACACGTCTAAATCTCGGCGTTGGACACAGATGAAGCAGGGGAATTAGATCTTCGAGAAAACCATCTTCAGTTTCCTTCATTAAATTGTCTAGGTTGACAACGTATGTTTTATAGCTTTCGGAGTCTGTATTTTCGCTAGAATAGAAAAAGAGTGTTGGTAAGTTTGGTGTACGTGATGCAGGTCACAGACGTTTACCACTTTGACGAAACGAGAATGGATATGGTACTGACAATCCAAGAAAGATACTCAGGCCGAATTTGAGAATCGACCCATGATAATAGGTTTCTGGCACGTCGAAGGGACGTTACTCAACACAGCGAGCTGCATTGCCTTAGATGACTTGGGAGATGGGTGATCATGGAGTACATGTCAAAACGTGAAAGCACTTGTGTTATTCATATTCGTATCTCTGTCATACATATTACATTATCAATTGATGTTCCTTAATCTAAATAATATTAATGTTAAACAAAATAAGGGAACACGTGAATATATTGCAGATGAGTTTATTTGTGTGTTCTGTAAAACACAATAATTTATGATTGAGTGAAACATTTGTAATTGTTGTGTTTACTACATCACCAAAATGTCTCTTGAGTGTCGACCGCCTCCGTAGTCTAGCGGTAAAGCATCCGCCTGGAGACGGAAGGTCCGGGGTTCGATCCCTGGCCGCGTCATACCAAAAGACGTTTAAAGATGGTACTTGTTGTTACCCTGTCAGGCGCTCGGCATTAAAGGGCTCAAACAAGGACTGGTCGGCTCGGAGTCAGTATACTGTGTCTGAGTGGGGTATTCATGTTAAACTGCGACATGGTATCTCAGTGTGCTAGCACTATAAATCGGCATCAGTCCGGATTAGTACAAGCACCCACACACAATATATAAGTGCAATAATCTTGGACGCGACCTTAAACCCGATTTCACCTCACCTCTGGAGTGTCATCAAGAAACAACATCTTATTACCCCCAAACAGACTTAGAACTATATCGTATCTGTGTCAACAAGTACATGAAAAAGACAACATTGTGTTCCAACTCAGATAATACCCAAAGAACAACGTTACTTTTTGTGTTTAAAAAAGTACATCCAAGTCTTCTGTTTTAAAAAAGTGGCAACGATAAAATTACCTGACTTTATTTAACAACATTCCTGTCATCACGTTGGAGATCGCAAGTGACAGGTAGGGGAAAGGATCAAAGGCTCCTGGTTCCTTTCTCATCAACTGTGTAGATGTTTTGAGGGATTGGGACACTTTACGACTCAGGTTATCTCCCCTGAGATAGTGCCTAAAATATAAATTATTTTTTATACATCTATTTCCAAATCTTTACATTTGTTAAATGCCAGTGTATTTTGTAGTTAAACAATTATTGTAACTGTTGTGATGGCACTGTGTGGAAATTTCCAGTAGCGGATTAGATTGTATACAAGGGACAAGAGCGTGCCTCTCGTATCTCTTTCATTACATAATGACCAAATTTCGTGTGGAGATCACTCATCACCTCGGATTTCCTGCATCGGGCCATCTCGTAATCTTGACCGCTGTCGCCGCTGGGTGAACATACAATTATCACTGACCTTTCCTATCACCACTGTATTTTTCTATTTGATACTGACCACTGCCATAATAAATATTACATATTGTCATTGGATATTGCAAAAACACCCTATTGTGTACTGCCATGGTAATTGCTGTGCAGTAATTTGTAATGATTTGTAAACCTAGTTAATTTTGTAATGTGTTCATTGGTGGTAAACCACTTGTTGGTTGTTCGTTGGTTTCACACTAAGCTTGTTTACGTACAGATTTCGTAATGTGTCTTTATTTGACGTATACAGTGTCACATTTGCTTAGTAGAAACACTATTGGGTGAGGTGTCAACCACAAACACCATAACTGTTAATAATAATAATAATAATAATAATAATAATGATGATGATGATGATGATGACGCCGACGATGATGATGATGGTGATGATGGTGATGATGATGATGATAATGATAATGATGATGATGATGACGCCGACGATGATGATGATGATGATGACGCCGACGATGATGATGATGATGATGATGATGATGATGATGATGATGGTGAACGTTTACCTCAGCGCTTTAGATGCTATTTTCCTGTGCAACTTCCACGTTGGGCCATACGATGCATTGGCTATGTCTTTTCCTCCATCAGTAATCACATTAACTGTAAAAATGTATTTCCTTTAAATAGCATCATACATGTATGGCTGATATGCTATCGAAAATATTTGCAGAATAGCTACCACGTATTATGAGAAAGTCCGGATTATCTGTCCCGAGTGAGTTATTGTGGAAATGCCTTCTGTGACCTCAAGAAGTCGCCAATAAACGTGAAGGTAACATTATACTGGTTACTGAGACTGACTGAAATATGTTAATCCATGCCAATTTCCCTATGGATAATGAGCGGATTATCTTCGAAGGAAAATAGCTCTGGTTGTAATTTTCTCTTTCAAAGTATATTAATAAAAGGAAGCTAAAGGACATCTGATGTGTTCATGTATATCTTCTTGTAATAGGTTCTCACCAAAACAAATGTCAGTCCTCCCGGCAAAGTCTGTTTGTCTTGTAACAAGAGCCTCTGTTACCACATCGATTCGACTCAAAACAACTGCAATCCGAGGACCTGTAAAATTATTATGTCCACTTCTATTACTGCACGTGAAAACATACATATGACATTATGATTCAACATACATTATGATTCAATGCTATTTCTGACCATTTAGGTATAGCTGTGATTACCCATAGAGTACCTCGCATTTACATCACAGAAACTCCAGACGCATTTCTTCATTATTGCTCGATTATCCAGCGTATGATACACCTATTGTGTTATGACATATATCCTGAATCAATACGCCGGTTCGATTGACAAGACGCTAACGATAGATGTCCAATCTTTACAAACTCTTTCGACATGGACTTTAGCCGTAATATAACAGTACTCTACTTGACTTTTGACACACGTCAAAATTATTGCACCATCGTGAAGCAGACAAACTTACCCAACATAATCTTCATAACTGGCCGGAAGGTTTGGTCCAATCACGGAATTTCCGAAACAGGAGACCCCCTTGTAATTCTAAAAAAAATGATATTCCGAAATTTCGTAGTGCAATGGTGTAGACTATTGGTTAAAGCTTTGGCTCGTCACGCCGTCATGGCGCCGTAAAACCTAACTCACACACTAACTGGGGCGGTCGGGTAACCTAGTGGTTAAAGCGTTCGTTTGTCACGCCGAAGACCCGGGTTCGATTCCCCACATGGGTACAATCTGTGAAGCCCATTTCTGGTGTCTCCCGCCGTGATATTGGTGGAATATTGCTTAAAGCGGCGTAAAACCATGCTCACTCACTCACACACTCACTCACTCGCTGAGCCGTCGACTTCTACACGTAGACTGAAAACGTATTGAACAAATTGATAGAAGTATGAGTGTCATTACAATTTACCCTTCCCGTGACGATGTGTACAGGCAACGCCATGTACACTGATAGTACCTTCAACCTCGCATACTTGAAACATGTGATGAAGGTTAACATGTCCCAGTCGCCAGGGGTTTGGATCACAAGCCAGCAACCCACATAATCGTGTCAGCTGCCCTGTGATATATAGGGATTCTCTCCAGTTAACATGAGTCGGTTATGTAGCTCTGCCTCTGAGTGTTGCTACTTTTATGGGACCCGTGGAGATCCGGGTTGGAATCGACGATCATGATGTCAGTCACAGGATTGTCTTATCCAGACTCGATTATTTACAAACCGCCGTATAGCTGGAATAATGCTGAGTGCGGCGCTAAGCAACGAACAAACAAACAAAACATTTATGGAAGAGAGTTGACATTTTTCATGGAAGAAGACACGTTCAGATTCATTATTCATTCAAGCATTCTGAATCATGAATTATAGACTATGAAAAAGACTTTTTCTTTAATTCCTCAAATAATTATCATAAATTATAGCTGATATTGGCAATATGGAATAGATATGGGTTTATGAACAAACAAATCATAAAATCAGCAATACAGATTATCATAATTAGATTTTCATCCCCGACGTGAAAAGCAATAAATATGATAGAATGCCTTCTTTCATAAAAGAAGTATAAACTGTCGGTACTTATTAATAAATTTAATATGATTAACCCTTTAACCCTCACATAACCCTAACCGCTAACCCTTAAAGAAGCATAAATCGTCGACACATAGTCAACCGTTAAACAAAATACATTCCATCAGTTACACAGTTGGTGTGAAGCCCATTTCTGGTGTCCCCCGCCGTGATATTGCTGGAATATTGCTAAAAGCGGCGTAAAACAATACTCACTCACTCACTTACACAGTTGGTATATTTTCCCCTACCGTCAAGTTAAATAATTCATGCAGCGATAAGTTATTAAAACCAGTTTAAGTTTTGAACACACAGATATCAGGCTTAGTTTCTTTAATGATCTCTTTACCGATGTCAAACAAAACATAATCATCTAAACATCTTGAAGCTGACCAATGATGCTGAAAAAGAACTAGCATAAAAAGTCTTTCACCCAAAATGTTTCCTAGGAGTGGCCATCCTTTGGGTCCGGGTGGCAAGTTGTCTCGTTTCTTGAAGAGTTTATGGGCGATCACACCAACCACACCCCCAACAACAAGAGCCTGGGTTATCACCGACTGGGGCCACAACTGCAGTAACCACTCAAACATCGTCCCTGTTTAGAAGTCTCTTCAGCTGTGATTGATTCTGAAACAAAGTGCATCATTTTGTCAAAGCATGTTTCTGACCCAAATAAACACATGTCTCAGTACTACATATAGAAACTGCAACTATGCTAGATTACACTTTGTGGTCAAAATTAAGTCTACAGACAAGGGACGAACAGCACCCCTTACACAAAGCCATCTTGACAGTGATTAATGTGATAATACCAAGCCTCTTGGCTTCATTTGTTTGATGTAAGTATAAGGGGCATCTGTCTGGGGCTACTGTCTATGCAAACAAATGCTGAATTGTCAAATAGACAGTTATATAGCATAAAACAAAAGAGGAAATCCTACACATTAAAAAATGTATATAATTGCATATCTATAATAATCTCATGTACCAGTGGATTTTCGAGAGATAAATAAATGAGTTGGTTATTACCTCTGGGCGAACAATCAACTGGTGTGGTGTGTCTGTCTATGGGGCCGGTATTGGGCAATACTGACGTCTGGTTGTGCAAATGTTCTATATTCTCGCCTGAACGCTAAGCGACACAGGTATTTGACTGACCTACATTTGCGGTAACATAATGGTATTGATCTTTCACAAGAGAAAGAGACGTGACGGAGCAGTATGTGAGGTTAGCTGGGGACCGGCACCCCGACGTGTACCAATGGTAAACATCAATGGCCTGTTTATCGTCAACGCAGGAGAGTCGCTACTGTGTTGTACGTGCAGGGTCGTAATTGCAGGCAAATAGATACAGGGCATCTTTACAGGGTGTCGATGGCGTGTATGTAGTCACACGGTTGAAGTCAGGGTGTGGTTACATTTTGTACGTACATAGTCGTAGGTACAGAGTCGCAATGACTACGCGTATTGTAAGCATTGCCCAAATATGGTCTGTGAACAAAATTCGTGATACGAAACGTACGGAGACCCCCTCTATTTATATTCCTTGTGTTGCTGCGGTGAAAATAGGTCAACGCTCTCTCACTCTCTCTCTCTCTCTCTCTCTCTCTCTCTCTCCCCCCTCTCTGTCTCTCTCTCTCTCTCTCTCTCTCTCTCTCTCTCTCTCTCTCTCTCTCTCTCTCTCTCTCTCTCAAGGGTTCCTTGTTTGAAAGTCAATGTTATGGGAAAGCCAGCAGAGCAGACGGGCAGACGACACACTAAGGGACGTAACCCTAATTTATTACCACCCAGGCTGACACCGATTGCCCATTCAAAATGCATTGATAAGCCATATCAGCCCGGCAGGGATGTAATACGGGTCTGGTTATTACACCCCCTGTGATATGACCATATTGGCTCTATCGCACATGTGAAGTGCCTCATATCATTGATAGGTATATGATAAAATAATGTATCATACACCTACCACATAGATGCATAGCAATCCTTCTTGCATTTTTGGGCTGGGTTCAACGCCGCTGTGGTCTTTATGTCAGCTATATCACGGCCAGTTATGTCAGGTGATATTGGAGGAAAGAGATTTGTTATCTTACCTTACTCTGGTAAAACCCCCGTGCAAGGGACGTAACTCTGAAGAGTGCATTGCAGTGCGCATGCCCACAGAACACCCGGCCTCGGCGGGTTAAACTCCGCGCTCAAGATTATCGCACTCACATACATGTGTGAAAGAGAAAGCGGGAAAGAGAGGGACAGAGATAGAGACACACAGAGAAAGTGACAATAATGTCAAAATGGAATAAATTAAAGCAAACACTGATGAATGCGGGATGGCCATTTTACTATCTTTCCGTTATATAAATTGCTTAACAATGATACAAATGGAGAAAATACACATATTGCTAAGGTTTTTTTTAAATTAAACTTCTTTAAAACGTTCCTATACATTTCAATGTATATTTGTGCACTCACACAAGAATGTATTCACGCCTCTATAATTGTCAGTAACTATGAAGTCGGCTATGACTACATTTTACATTTCCCGTTATCGGCACTGACTGTTGAAGGCAGACGTCTGATGTGCCCTTAAACCTACAATGGTCTTAAGTCTACAAAATTCATGAGTGGGCGTGGCTTGTGTATGCGCCAGACACTATCTTCCGCAAAGCTGCTGATGTCTAACGAACACATCGCTGTCTCGGCTGTCATTGCACGATACGATGCTTCCCTCACAATCTGCACATCAGGTATATAACAGACGTTTGTATGAATTCACAATATATAAATGTAATTTATACTCTTCCAAAAAAGAAACGCAAAGCCAGGTAGGGTAGGGTCTGGGGGGCGTTGAGGGAAATATATATCACTCTGTCCTTGTATTCTTGATGGTAGAGGGGCGTTCGGGTAGCCAAGTGGTTAAAGCGTTCGCTCCTCACGCCGAAGACCCGGGTTCGATTCCCGACATGGCTACTATGTGTGAAGCCCATTTATGGTGTCCCCCTGGAATATTGCTAAAAGTGACGTAAAACCATACTCACTCACTCACTTGATGGTCCTATTTGCTATGGTTTCAGATCCAGATCTGAACGTCCACGTTTCAGACAGGGACAGATTGCCATACACAGATGCAGTGATACAAAGATACAGATACAAAGGCGTTCCTCACTGCACCCTTTACAAACCACAGTTGGTAGGTAGTACAGTGTGTTGAATAAAGTACTGGAGTGTTGATAATAGTATTTACATCAACAGTAGGCTCGGATTAAACGGCCGGGACACAGTTGCCTGTGTCAGTGTACATTACACGTGTATGTTTATCTATTAATTTTTCATACTTTTGCGCGAGGAAACCATTTGAATATAACTTGTATCAAACAAATGTGTGAGATCGAATTCCAGGTCCGTGATTGGCTACTCCATGGCGATGACCTGAGGTCAAATTATAACGGACTACGTTCCTGATTGTAATTCGTTAATAAGTTCGTGCTTCGGACAAACTGACCTACGGCTGTGTCGAAACTTTATGGTTTTAGAGTGTCAATAAAGGGTCTTTGGGCTTGTCTAGTTTGCATTATCATAATCACCTTGGTAATCCACAGATGTGGCGGAAAACATTTTTAGTGTGGAGGGTCACACGGCACATGGGGAGTGAGCTGTGGCCCGGATGACGTCTCAAATGACGGTATCAACTCAGATACGGTTGTAAGATAAATGGTTTCTGACAGACACTGTGTGGTAATCTGTGTGTCTAGCTGCCAAGGTGAGCATCATGAGCATCGATCTTCGCATTTGGATACGATGACATGCATCAACCAAGGCACTGAGCCCAACCACCCGATTCGGTTAGTCGCCGGCATTGCCTAAAAGTCGGGCCGGGCCGGGCCAAGACGGGCCAAAGTGTTACTGGCTAATTACTTCATTATCGGCGATCATACCTACATATAATTGATGCAACATACACACATGACATAAATGAACAATCACCAAACAAAAAAACAAACCATAAATAAGTAATTCGGAGTAAATCGCTTGAAAACCAGAAAGTGGAGCAGTGTGTAAGCGTCGCTGATCTTGGTAACATGTAAAAGAGCAATCGTTAAACGAAATAAGATTTTAAACGTATCAAATACTTCTAGCTATCGTGATACAACGTTCCATCTGTGCGCATAGTGTTTATTTTTATAGGAACGTTCTATATATAAGTAAATACCACTTTATAATGTCACTGATCGTCGAATTTAAAGCAGACACGTTGGTTAAAGTAGACCTCTTCTCCCTATACTCTCAACAGTCACACAGGTATTCGGTCCGTCTTGGCCCGGGCTATCAAAATCAACTTTAAACTCACATATGTATCATCAAATGGATTCACATCTATAAACTAGTATAATATCTTCCTAAATACCACTTTATAGTGTCTCAGATAGCTGTACTTAAAGAAAACCAGGTGCTCAAAGTGAAGCATTTTTACTGTATTTTCTTAAGAAAATCTGTCAGAAGTGTTCGGTCCGACTTTGCCCGGGCTGTCAAATCAACTTAAACTTCACAGATGTATCATCAAATTGATTCACATCTATAGATTAGTATTATATCCACCTTAATACAACTTCATAGTGTCTCAGATCGATGTACTTAAAGAAAATAAGGGGCTCAAAGTGAAGCCCCTTTCCCTTTACATTCTCAACATAGTCTCTATCAGAAGTGTTTCTCTTGTGTTGGGTCCGACTTGGCACGGGCGATCAAAATCAACTTAAACTTCACAGATGTATCATGAAAAGGATTCACATCTTTAGATTAGTATGATATCTACCTAAATACCACTTTATAGTGTCTCAGGTCGCTGTACTTAAAGAAAACAAGGGGCTCAAAGTGAAGCCCTTTTCCCTCTACATTCTCAACATAGTCTCTATCTGAAGTGTTTGTCTTGTGTTTGGTCCGACTTGGCATGGGCTGTCAAATTCAACTTAAACCTCACAGATGTATCATCAAATGGATTCATATGTTTAGATTAGTATTATATCTACCTAAATACCACTTTATAATGTCACGGTACATCGTATTTAAAGAAAACAAGGTGCTCAAAGTGAAGCATTTTTACTGTATTTTCTTCAGAAAATCTCTGTCAGAAGCGTTCGGTCCGACTTGGCCTGGGCTGTCAAATCAACTTAAACTTCACAGATGTATCATCAAATGGATTCACATCTATAGATTAGTATTATATCCACCTTAATACCACTTTATAGTGTCTCAGAACGCTGTACTTAAAGAAAACAAGGGGCTCAAAGTGAAGCCCTTTTCTCTCTACATTCTCAACATAGTCCCTATCAGAAGTGTTTGTCTTGTGTACGGTCTGACTTGGCCCGGGCGATCAAAATCAACTTAAACTTCACAGATGTATCATCAAGTGAAGCATTTTTACTGTATTTTCTTAAGAAATTCTGTGTCAGAAGTGTTCGCGTATTTATGTGCTTAAGTCACTTAAGAAACATGTCAGACAGCTTTGACATCATTGATGACTTAGTCTTATGAGATGTGTAAACCTTAGGGAAATGAGCTCAAGTAAATACAGAAACAGAGGGTCTAAAATTGCCACAGTGTTGGGCCCGAAAGTCTATTTAGGATTTAAATTGTGATTAAGGAAGTAGAGGGTAGAGAGAGAACAAGATAACAAATCTTAACAAAACCTACCTGCCAAACAAGTGCTAGTTCGTTCGTATCCGTAATCCGTCACAAACTGTGTTGAACGCATAGTGCGTTCGATGAAGGAAATACAGCCCTTCAGATCTTTGTTTACTGAATAAACCTTGACCTATGTTCAGTGATATAACTTATAAGATATTGAAGCTACATGGTCGCCCATTGTTTCGAGAAAATGTCCTGGCTACACTTCAAGGTTTCGTTTTCAACTAATATGTATGGATGTATATGATGTCTCATCTTGATGTACTTTAATAATGCAATTCGACAAAGAAGATGTACAGATGCCTCGACAGCATTTTCGGCAGTCAACTACAAGTACATAGTCTAAACTAGGCTACATTTGCATTTCTTTAGCCGTTTACAGATGCCTCGACAACATTTTTCACACATGAATGACTTCAACCTTGGCTCTCAACTAGTACAGGTAAACATGGCTAATAATGCTCATGTGTGTCAGGTTGCCCCAACCTCGCCGTCGTATCTGTACACAAAACAAGTGCATAGTCTAAACTAGGCTACATATGCATTTCTTCAGCCGTTTAAATAATGCAGTGCGCTGTCACAGCATGCTGTGTAGGTCTGTACAGCACAATGTATTTTATTAGTAATTGGTAGATCCTTCATAAATCATATTTTTGCCATTCATTTCACATATGCCTCGGTAGAATTGAGGTAGGGGAAGGATTTCTGGTCAGATGACAAGGTATTCAGATATCCAGAAACTCGTTTATCCGGACAACATTTTAGAAAATTGTCCGGATAAGCGAGGTTCGACTGTATAGCGCGTGATGCATGACAAAACAGATGTGTTAGGATCTGATTCGCACTTGCTGAAGGGATACCAATGGACCCTGATTATAATACATTGGTTGCTTATTATTATTATTATCATTAAATATATTGTATTGCCCCAAAAGACCAAGGGATTGGGCACAAGTGCAGCACTTATTACCACCTTCTCCCTATATACAGTTATACATAATATTGCATAATGAAAATTAACAATTTACAATTGAAGCATCACATTGTGGAAACATAGTGCGCAATATAAATTTATATACAGCGCTCATATGAAGGATATATACAATGTGCTGGAAAGTGAAGACAGTGTGCATCTCATACATATGCTAATATTATACATGTTAGTGTTGTATATAGATTTAACAATAGTAATGATTAACAGTTTGGAAACAATAATATGCTAGCTACTGAATCTGTTAGTCGTTTCTATAAATTTGTGTACAGACAAGAATATTTTTGTATTCAGGAAAACATCTAAGCTTGGATCACAAAAAGAATACAAATTAGAGTTTTTTGTCTTCAAGATTATCGATAGCTGTCAGTAATGTCTCCCTAATATCATCATATAAGGTACATTGGAAGAAGAAAT